GCACTGCCCCGTTCTCGGGGCCAGGGCAGCTCCCTGGTCTGGGCGGCCGGTGGAGGGGTCAGGGCAGGGACCCCATGTGAGGAGGCCTCGCTGCTCCCACACCCTCTGCTCTTGCAGGTAGCTACTGGCCAGGCCCCACAGGACCCTCCAGCCAAGGGGGGTGTGAGCACAGTGAGGTGGTCCTTGGGGTTCTCGGAATGTCACTGTCCAGTGAGGCCCGCCGGGAGCCCTCCCCGAGGCCACCTTCCCCGGCCCCACACACCCCCCACTCTGCCACGGACACTGTGGCCTTCTCGGGGGTCTCCACGTGGGACCCGCCTGCATCCTCCACCTGCTTGATGCGTCCAGGGCCAGAGGGCTCCCTGCTGCCCGCTCGGCGGTGGGCGCCGGGGCCCCTGGAGGGGTCCAGCCTCTGTGGTGCATCGGGAGGATGGAGGAGGGCGCACCTGTGCCCACCCCCACCCGTCCGCGGCCCGAGGGGAGGCCCCGTCCCCACAGAGGACAAATGGTGGTTTTGTCCTTGGCCGGCGGCGGCCGGCATCACACAATGACCCTTTCATGCCGCGCGGGAGCCCGGCCCGGGTTTCATTTGACGAGGAGGCGTCTGGGCTCCTGTCCCCTTGCTGGGGGAGGGGACACTGCGTCCTGTGAGCCGGACCCCCCAGGCTCCTCAGAGCAGGGGCCGCAGGGGCTGGGGGCAGCCGCTCCTGCCGCCCTGGTGGCCGCGGGACCCCTGAATGCCGGGCGCTGGCCAGGGCCGCACGCAGGGACCCCCGCCTTGGACAGAGGGTGAGTGTCCACAGTGACGGGCATCATCAGGCTCCCCGCACCGCCGCCACTTCCCCCATTGTCCTCTCAGCAGAGGGAAGCTTCCCCACACGCCAGAGCCCTGGGTGGCTGTCCGGTGCCCTCCTGGCCTGTGTCAGGCCCCAGACCCCCCCCTCCCTCACCATGCACCTGCTTATCTCATGCTCCTATGAAGTCCAGGCAACTCCTATTCATCCTGCCACATCCTGACCGGAAGTCACCTCTTCCAGGAAGCCCTCTGAGAGTCTCACCAGAGAATTTAATCTCTTTTATTTCAAAGCACGGTCACCCAGACTTTTCGGATGCTCCCTGAGAGCTGGGGACAGCCCTTCTCACCGTGTACCAGTATGAACCTGGCCCTGCTGAGTTCTCCCAGCTGTCCGGGAGGAGAGAGAGCCCCCTCGGCCTCCCCCGGGACATAGCCACACCGGGGGATACACCAGGGCCCGGAGAGGCGTGGGCAGTGGGCGAGGACCCGTGATAACCTATCTAGGGCTCTCCTCGGGTCCACAGGGCGCAGGAGCAAGCACCCCCTTACCTGCCTGCCCGGAGTTCAGACACCATTTCTAGAAGGTTTCCCCCTTCAAAGTGGTGATTTTTTTTTTTTTTGCTTTTGGGTCACACCCGCGATGCTCAGGGGTTACTCCTGGCTCATACACTCAGGAATTGCTCCTAGCGGTGCTCGGGGGACCCTATGGGGTGCTGGGAATCGAACCTGTGTTGGCCATGTTGGCTGCGTGCAAGGCAAACGCCCTCCTCACTGTGCTATCGCTCCAGCCCCCCAAAATGGTGATTCCTTTATGAAAAATGAAAAAAAAGTGGTGATTTCTGATTCGTGCCATTTCCAATCATCCTTTTGCTGAGCCCTCAGCTCCGTTCTAATCTCAAACTGGGTCCCTGGGGGCCCCCCGACCCAGCCCATGTGTTTCAGGCTGCAGGGCCGGGGTCAGCAGGTGGGCTGACCTGCACCCACAGAAGGGGGTCTCAGGGGATGAGGCAGAGCCGGGCAGCCCCCCCTCCCCCCCGCAGAGGCCTTGCACAGCCTGGCTGACTCAGCCCCGCAGGCTGGAAACCGCATCTCCTGGGGGCATCCCCCCCATGCCCGAGGGCGGGGAGTCCCTCTCCGCACCCCTCCTGATTCAGCAGCCCCCAGCCCTGCCCCGGGTCCTGCCCAGAGGGCCTCCGAACCACAGGCAGGGCAAAGCCGCAGGCAGGTGGTCGGTGAGTAACCGCCCGTCACCCGTGACTCAGCCGTCGTCACAAGAGGCTCAGACCGGAAGACCTGGGCATCACTGCGGCCGGCTCCCACATCTGGCTGGAAGGGGCCAGCTCATTCCAGCGCAGGGCCCGGGCCGGCCCCCCGCAGCACCCACCTGCCTACCTGACCCCGGGCACAGGGGCCCGCGCACGCACGGGGACCACAGACCAGGTCCCAGACACATGCCCCGCCCCAGCTGGGGTTCAGGAGCCGCCATCGGATAGAGGTGCGGATTCCAGGACGAAGTAACTTCCGGAAAGTTCTCTGGAGCAGAGACGTCTCTGCGGGTCTCTCCTGCCCCGGCACGCTCAGGCCCCGCCGGACTTTTTCCTTGGGTTTTTCTGAGGCACTGAGGGGCCTTAAGGCATCCGCATCCCTACTCAGGTCTGCACTGCCTGCCTCACGGCCCCCAAGAGCACACACACAAGCACACACACGCATTCACACACACGCACACACACACACACATACAGGCACACACACTGCATATACATTCAACGCACGTATGCACACATGCACACACATATACCTTCATGTATGCACACACACGTGTACATCAGCACATGCACACACACATGCACACTCACACATGCATGCACGTACACATGCACATACCTCCACTCACATGTGCCCACATTGATAATGCACTGACACATGCATCTATGTGCAGACACATACACTCGTGCACACACCCACACGCACACGTACACACACTCACATGCACACACACATACCCTGACAGATACATATATTCACACGTGCACACACTTACACATGCACACACGGATAGAGGCATTCACACGATTCGTACATGCAGACACGTGACTCATACACACATACGCACACATATACCATCACGGACACTCACACGTGTTCAGGGGTACACAGGCTCACACATGCATGCATATATGCGCACACAAGCACACTCTCACGTCCACACACATTCATATACTCGCTCCATGATTCACGCACACACACACACACGTGAGCACACACACAGGCAAACATGCTTGGATACACACACTCACTGGCACACACAAATGCACACATACGTTCATACAGTCACCACACACACATACACGCTCACGCAAATTCACACGTTCCCGCAGTCACACACTTATTCCCACGTTCACAGACACACAGTTGGGGACCGACCTCTTCCCGGCCAGCCCTGTGCCCATCTCAGCAGGGAGGGGACCCCAAGGTGCCGGGGCCTCTGTCGGAACATCTGCCTGGCGCCCCACCCCGCCCCACCCCATCCCTGGGAAGCCGCCCTCGGCCCTGGCGCTCTGGTCTCCTGGCGCTGGGTGGCAATGACAGGCAGGGCAGAGTCTGCCGTATTGCTCTGCCAGCCCCTGGACCCCAGAACTGGCCCGGGAAGCCAAGCAGGCCCGCCGCGCGCTCGGGGGCACCGGCACAGATGGTTGGCACCCCGGGCCCTGGGCAGACCAGCCTCAGGAAGCCACCTGCGCCACCCGCGGGCCCCGAGCCCCCCTCTCTCCAGCTCCCGGCCCCTCCCCCACCTCCTCCTGGCGACTCTGGTGAGCTCCTACACCAGGCTCACCCGGAGACGTCCCTGGACACCTCCCCAATGAGCCCAAACCTCAACCAGCTGGCCCCAAGAGATTCCCCAAGCAGCGAGCGAGCAGCGAGCGTGCTGACTCCAGCAAGGCTTAAGCGGGAGCCGCGGATGGGGGGAGGGGGCCCTGCCTCCCTCCCCCGCCCCCGACACACCCAAGGGCCCTCCGAGCGCCCCCATGCACGCACGGTCCGCGGTCCGTGGGAAAGCAGGACGCGGCTGGCGCTCGAGTCCCGGCGATCGCGGGTCCCCGTCCCGCCCCGCGCCTGCTCCCCGCCCCCCAGCACCCGGCGATGCCTCGGCAGCCGGGGCTGCCCGCCGGGCTTGGAGCGCTCCCTGCGCCCGCGCGGACCTTGTAATTATGACCCACAGCCCGGGAAACCGCGGGCCTCGCAGCATCTGGCTGCGGTTGCGAACTTTTGTTTCAAGATGCGCGACTATTTATAGACGGAAAACTGGTAGGATAGTAATTTCCGAGGGGCTGGAGAAGCATTGGCTGCGTCTCTATTAGAAGGGGGGTGGGGGCGCGGCGATTTATTAGGGCCGCGGCCGCGCGGGGGAGGGGCGGCGCGGGGGGCGGGGAGGCCGCGTGAGGCGACCCCGGACGTGGCCCGCGTGTCGAGGAGCGGGCGGGGGAGGGGAGGCGGGCCGGGGAGGCCGCGCCGCCGCTGAGGTTTGATCAGTAGCATCCAGCTTGAATTCCCCCAAACGGCGGTTCCATAAATCAAACTCCTCCTGCAAGCCGAGGCCAGCGCATATGCGTCCCATTAGGCACCGGGCGAAGCCACCGCCGCGCCCGCCGGGAGCCGCGGGGACGGACGCACGCGCGCGCCCACGCCCCGCGCGCCGGCCGGGCCCGACACCCGAGCGCGCGCGGGCCCCGGCGCGCGCCGGCGCCCCCCGCGCCCCCCGCCAGGTGAGCGGCGGGCGGGCCCCGCGTCAGGCCTCGCGGCGCGCCGGGCAGCGGCCGGCGGCCCGCTGGGCAGCTGCCCGGCCGGGCGCAGCGCGCACGTGGGTGTCAGTGCGCGCGCCGCGCCCCGAGAGGACAGGGCGTCTGCGCTGCGCTGGCCCGTCCGCCCAGGGGGTCCCCGGCTCCAGGGCTCCCCTCGGACGCGCCGGGAACCTCCGCGCCGCGCGCCCTGAGCGCGCCGCCCGCACGGCCCGGGCTCACCCCGCAGCCCGGCGCGCTTGCTCGGCCCCCGAGGCCGCGCCGTCGCGCTGTCCAGTTGTCCCCCGACCGCCCCACGCCGTCACCTGGGCGGCTTCAGCCCCAACGCCCCGCCCGCACCGCGCCCGCCCGGCCCGGCGCTGGGGCGGGGGCGAGGGTCCGCGCGCGCCCCGCTCCCGGCCACTCACAGGTAGCTGCCGCTGGACAGGAGGAGGAAGATCTGCGGGCAGTAGATGGACAGGAGAAGGCGCCGCCGCGACAGCAGCAGCATGGTGAGCCGGGCCCCCCGGTGGGGCCGGACGGGCCCCGCGGACAGGTCGCCCGCCCGCCGCGGCCGGGGTCTCCGCGGCCCTCCGCTGGCTCGGGCGGCGGCTCCCGCAGCTAAGGGTCCGGGCGCGCGGGCCACGGCGCGGTGGTCGCCCGAGCCCCGCCGCCGGGGCCCCGCATCGCGCTCGGGCTGGGGCTTCGGCGGGCGCCCGGGCTGGAGCGCCGCGCCCGGTCCGCGGGCGGCGGGTGCGCGTCGAGCGCTCGGCGCGTCCGTCGAACCGGCTCTGTCGCTCGCCGCGGCTCACGTCTCCGAGCCTCCCGGGCGCGCGTCTGCCATTGGACGGGCGGCCCCGACATCCGCCTCCTTCGCGGGCGGGTTTTTTAAAGGGGAGGCTGACCGAGCCTGCGGCGGGAGCCGCCCCCGGCCGTGCCGAACGGCCTTGGCCCCGTCGCGCTCCCCCACCCGCCCCCGCCGCGACTCCCGCGAGCCGCGCGGAACAGCTCGGGCCTGCCGCCCCGGAGGGTGCGTCTCGGGAGGCACCGCGGGGTGACCGCGCGGGGGCCGCGTGCCGGTCCCGGGCCGGGGCGGCGGGGGCGTGCGCCCGGGCAGCGTGGGCGCGCGTGAGGGCACAGGTGTGCGCGCCCAGATGCCCGCTGCGCCCTGCCCCTCGGCCTGCGTGCGCGCCTGGGCTGGGGACGGCTGCCTGGGGGTGGGGGGTCGCCGGCACTCCCGGCTGCAGCCCACCCGGGCCTCCGGGCGGGGTTCTCCTGTGCTCGAGCGCGCGCACGGCGGTGTTGGAGAGGGGGCTGGCGCGGGGGAACCCCAGCAGGTGCACGTGGGCCCCGACTCTGGCTTCCACCGTCTCCCTTGCACCATCCGCGGGGTGTGGGGATGCCGGGAGACCCTCCTGCTTCCTGAGACTCGTTACCTCGGACCCCGCGCGGCTGGCGACTGAGCCCGGAGCTCCAGGCCTCTGAGCAACCTCCCCAGCCCGTTCGCCGGCGCAGAAATACAGCTCAGAGTCCCTTCTGGTCGGCCCAGGCGGCGGAGACACGGAGACATGGCAGATGGGGACAATGGCGACGAGGACAGCGCGGGTCTCTGCCGTGGGCCCCGGGGGCTCATCTCCAAACTCCTGCAAGGGGGGGCCCTGGAGGCACCCCCAGGCCCCTCTTTCCAAGGGGCAGGAGGCCCATAGCGGCCAGGGTCACTTCCAGAGCCCAGAAAGCCCCTTCTTCTTGCCATGCTTTGGGCACCAGAGGGCCCAAATGTGAGGGCGGGGGCTACCAGGGCCTCTGAAAGCCCCCAGCCCCTCTGCTCCTGGGCAGTGGTCGCCAGAGGCTCATTCTGGGTTCTCAGCCCTCCGGGGCCGCGTGGCAGGACTTCCCGGGCTCATTCCAGATGCCAGCAGCAGGTAGGGCCCGGAGAGGGTGCTCCAGGGGCCCTGCATTCCTGGCCTGGGGGTCCCCGGGGAAGAACGGTGACCCCCCTCCACCTGGGGCTGAGTGTCCCATCCGAGTGGCTTGGCGGTGTGTGCGGCGGGGGCTGGCCCAGACATCCCCCTGAACCCAGGGCCTAAAACTCATCCTTAAACTGCCAACCGGCCGCAGCCTCAGGTGCTGGGTGCCCTGGGGGGATGGTGCAGCCCCTCATCTCCCCCAATCACTGCCCACGCGGGGTCCCCATGTCCCCAGGTGTCTACAGCCTGCTGTGGGCCAGACCCCCACCCCCAGGGGCCCGGGGAAGTGCGTGTTCCTGGGGACACGGCAGGGAGCTGGGTCCACAGGCATCTCCGGCGCGACCACCCAGCTGAGGTCCGAAGGCCAAGGGCAGCCTCCCAGGCCGTCCAGACCTGGATTCACCCTGGGGCTCCACGGAGCCCCTTCTGCCGTCTCTGAGGGGGGCAGGGCAGCGGTTTCCAGGGCTCTGCCCACAGCCTCAGGCTGTGTGTCCCGGGAGGTTGGGGTACCCGAGCAGGGTTCTGGGGGAGGCCAAGGCCGCATCTCCAGCCCCACCTGGGCCCTTTCCCGGCGCCCAAGGCCTCCCTAGCGTGGCCTCCTCACCGGGACACCCAAGGCAGAGCACTGGATTGGGGCGGGGGAGCACACGTGTCCTGGGAGGGACGCAGAGCCCAGCAAACAGGCCGTGTCCACAGGGACCTCACCCCTCATGAACAAACAGCCGGGGACACGGCCTCCACGCAGCCCGCAGTAAACAGCCACCAGAGGCGCAGGGCTCCGGGCCGGCCGGGCGTCTCCACCTGCGGGAAGGCGGCAGGATGGAGGCTGATGGACGCGGGGTCGGGGCGCGGGCCTGGGTGCCCGCCGGGCTGCTGGCGGGCGGCGCTCCCGGACCAGGACCCGCACCGGCCGCCGCGCCTCCAGGCGCCCCGCACCCTTCGCGGCCACACCGCCCCCCCACCCCCCACCCCTGCGAGGCCGAGACGGATTCTGTGTAAAGGAGATCGCAGCTCAACAGGTAAGGACTCGGCTGGCTTCAGGAATGTGGAAATACGACTCAGGGGCAGGTACCGCAGCGAGCCCCGAGCGCGGCCGCGCCAGGGGGAGCGCGGCGAGAGGGGGCCGGGCGCGGGGCCCCCAGCGCGCGGGCGGAGGCGCGCGGGGCGCGGGGCGCGCGGCGAGCCCCCGGCGGCCCGGCCCGGCCCGAGCGAGCCCCGCGAGTTGTCGAGGCAACTTCAACACTCGCGGGGGATGGAGAGCGCCCCGGGGGTCGCGGCGGGCGCCCCGGCCGGCCGGCCGGCCAGCCGGCGCGCTCGCGGCCGGGCGCGCGCCTCCAGCCCCCGGGCCCGGCCGCCGCGCCCCCCCCCCCGAGCGGCCCCCACCCCAGCGGCCGCCCGACGCCCCCCGGCCCCCGCCCCGTCGCACCCTCCGGGCGGTGAGCGCGCGGCCGGGCTCGGCGCCCAGCGCAGCCCGGGGGAGGTAAGGCGCGTCCCACCCCCGGGGCCTGGAGCCCAGACAGGTGAAAGGGAGCGCCGGGCACGTTCGCCGCTACCCGCGCGCCCCGCTCGCCTCCTCCAGCCGCGGCGCCCCTCGGGGAGAGTCGCTGCCCCGGGGGGCCGCGGAGGGGGGACTCCGCGGCCGCTCCGGGGCCACCGCCCGGCCGGGGGTCCCACGCGCAGGGGGACCCGCGCCCGCGCGCTCCTCCCCGCCGCGCGGCCCGCGGACACTCACCCGAGCTTCACGTACAGAACGCCAAAGCAGAGAAACACGTAGAAAATCCACTTGCGTAAGTTCCTGTGCATGATCCAGGGCGGGGGGCTGCGCCATAGACCGCGGGACCGGAGGGGGCGCGCGGGCCGGGCGGGGGGCGGGCGGGCCGGGCCGGGGGCTGCGCGGGCCGGGGGGCTCAGCCGGCGCTGCGGCTCGGGCGGCTGGCGACGCGCGGGCGCTCGGCGCGCGCTGCCACCATGGTGAGCCCGGGGCGCCCCCGCCGCCGGCGCCCCCCGGAGTGACCGGGCCGGGGCCGCGACCCCGGAGCGCGGCGGAGCGGCCGCGGGGGCCCTGGGGCGCGGCGGGCGGGCGGGCGGGCGGGCGCTGCTGCCTCGCTGGGCGCCGCCGCCTGGGGCCGTGCGCGCCTCTCCGAGCGCCGCGGCGGCCAATGTGTCCGCACTTGTCCGCCTCCCCAGGTGACTCGCGGCCCGGGCAGGGGAGCGGCGAGCCAGCGAGCGCGCCCCAGGTAGGAGGACCCGCCTCCCGCCCGCCCTCCTCGCTCGCCGCGCGCTCTCTCTCCCCCGCGCCCCGCGCGCCTCCCTTTTCTCCTCCCTCCCCCCGTGACACACCGACGCATCCACCCCGACCCCCGCCCCGGGCGCGCCCCCTTCCCGCCGCCCGCCCCGGCCCGCGCCGGGTCACCTGCGGAGCGCCCCACGCCCGCGCGCCCGGGTGGGGGCCGGCAGGTCCCGTCTGGGGGGTCGCTGGCCGCCGGGTCTCTGGTCGGGGCGGGCGGTGGTCCGGCGAGGGGGCTCCCGGCCGCCCCCTCGCTCGCACAGGCACCCGGGGCTCCGTCTGGCCGACCCCCGCCCCAGCCCCGGGAGCGCCCCTGCCCCAGACCTCGGGTCCCCCCACCTGTCTCCACGGGCCAGGGAGGGGACAGACAGGCCACAGGCTGGCCCGTCCCTGGGCACCCGGCTGGGAAGGGTCTGGGGGGGAGGGCAGAGGGCGCTGCCCAGGCTTCGGGGTCCCCAGGCTGGACTCCCTACCTCCCTGGACCCGGGGCGCTGAGCCTCGGGGGGCGCGTCTGTGCCCAGTGGGTCGGGGCTGGAGGGTCTCTCCACCCCCAGGTCCCTGCAGGGCGCCCCTCTGGGGGAGGGGATGGAACCGGGCAGGTCCTGGGCTTGCTGGGGGTCTGCAGCACTGGGGAGGGGCTGCGGCCGGGCCCCCTGCGCTCCCCTGCACCCCCTACCCCCCCCCCCCCCAGGCCGAGCGCTCAGGGCCCCGGGCCGTGCAGGCAGCTGGGGGACCCAGGAAAGGGACCTTGGGGACCGCACGCACAGGGCCACCGAGGCCCAGAGAGCAGGAACTGGACAGAGGGACCTCCCCACCCCCGTGTCCCCCGAGCCCCGTGGTCACCCGTCCCGGCCACTGGCCACTGGGCGGGCAGGAGGCACCTGGCCGCGGGCCGATGCTGCCCCCTGGCGGCGGCGGCGGGAGGGACGCGCGGACCGGGCGCGCGGGGCCTGGGTGGACGGGCCAGCGGGCAGCGTCCAGCGCCCGGCGCAGAGGAGCGCGCGACCCCGTGGCCTCTCCGGCCCCGGCCCGGCTGGACTCTGGGGCGGCGGGGCGGGATGCGAGGAGAGGGCGGGGATAAGGCCTGGGGCGCCCTCGCTGGCCTCCCGCCTCGCTGGGCCTCAGTTTCCCCACCCCTGGGCCTGAGGGAGCCGCTCCTCTGGGGACCCGAGGGCGCGCGGCGCGGCGTCGTGCTGCCCCCTGCCGGCCGCAGAGGGAGCGGCGCCGGTCCTCGCGCGCGGGGCAACTGGTCCCAAGGAGGCGGCTTGAGTCCTTG